TTTTTTTTTTTTTTACACTTGTCGAAATATAACATTCGCGTCATCTACGGAATTATGTTGTAATATATGGCAGATGTATTAAAATATTATTTTTCATCGTTCTTTATTCAATTAAGCAAACGTTTGAGCGACTTTTGAGCAGAAGATCAAGTATGGTTGATCTGGATAATTTCCGGTAAAAGGTAATTTAATCCCGAAGAAAATATTTCATGAAGATCAGTTTGTATCGCTCGATTATATTTTCCCAATTGTCCATTAAATCCAGAAGAATTTACGCAAATCTTATTTCAAAAAAAAAAAAAAAAAAAAAAAAAGAAAAAGAAAAAAAAAAATGTAACTTTAATCACTAATATTATATAAAATAGTATGATGTTTCAAGTAAATATCTTTAAAAGTATCTCAGCATTTGACAATTATCAAGGATAATTTTGTATTATTTAAAATTAGGATTTGAATTAATGTTTCTTGAATGTTCGATCGATCGAGAGAAAGGCAAAAAATCGCGTTGATTTTCTGCTGCTGCGAGAAAAGCGAACGTGTTCTCTCTCCATCCAGGCGGACTCTGCGAAGAGAAGAAGCTCGGCGACGGATTCCTCGGATCACCCGGAAGTACTGATCACCGTGAAAACATCCGCCTGGAACACTGAGACACTGACCGGGCTAGGTGGTCACTCGGTTATTACCCCTTCTTCATCGTCCTGCTCTTCGCTCAACTCGCGGTCTCTTCACCTCCGATACCTTCTCGTTTCTCCTCTTCATCTCATCTTTTTCCTTTCCTCCACTTCTCGAAAATTTCTGCACCATCGAAACGAGCCGCTGCCTCTCGGAAGAATTATTTCCTGTTCGTACATTCTTGTTGTTGCCAGATCGTATCTACGCACGAATTACGCTTTCCAAATATTAGAATCCGTTAAAAATCCTGCTTTCACTGAAACATTTCACTGCGAACATTCGCCACAAATCGACGAACTTTGTGTCTTCATTTGTTCCGAACGAGAGACACGCCGCTGTAACATTTCAGAAAATACGACTAAAACACGACGGAACTGGTCATTAATCAGATAAACAATGTTCGTCTTTTAAAAGTCTACTATATCGTCAGGTTCAGATGCGTCTGTTGCAGTTTGTACAACGTCTGAGAAATGACTTGCCGGTAACAAATTGGCAAAACTTATGTACGAGAGGAGAGTACGAGATCGAGAAGAGATCTTGGCGCACCGGTGAAACTGAAGGCTAATAAATTACAATGGTATGAGCTGACACTGGCGCAAAACTTGATACCAACGTCTGGTTTTGTGCACACATTAGCAAGTAGCACATAGCGATTCTATGTAGAGCGAGCAGACTTCTCGTTTCAGTGCCTCAAACAGGTTTCTTCGCTACTTAACGCTCGCACGCTGTTGCTCGTATTCCCTCTTGATAGTTTCTCCCTTCATAATGTTGTCAAAATACTTCCATACTTCAACGTTTCGTTCAGTTTTCATTAATTAAAATCTTGCCTCAAGGTTTAGCGCGAGAGTTTCCATCGATTCTAGGGGAAATTCTTGTTGACAAGAGTCTTAATCCGATGCTTGATATGCGATATCAATCGAGAGCAGAACAATTCTGTATTTAATAATTACTCGATTTTAAGGAACTTCGAACTTTCAGTTTCTCTAGACAAGTTTTCGAGGTTAGTAAGTTTCACCACCAACTCTGTAAGTTTTCATCTCTCTAGATTCTAGGGAGTTTCTCGAAATTAAAATTTCCGATTAACATTGCTTTTAAATCTCACCTCCAATCCACGAACATCTAATAAAGATTTCACAGCAATTTGTACAGAAGGATGTACTGTACGTACTTCGAAATGAAAAGTTTTTAGGTTAGGATTACATACAAAACATCGATCACCAAGCATTGAAAAATCGAGACTTGTTCAACGAAAATCTCCGAGATTCGTGAGAATCTTCACAGCGAAGCAGCTTTTTTGCTGGCGACCTTGACATTGACTTCTTTCCACCGAGGTCTGTGTATTTATAGAGTGCAAGATGGAGGATTCACGGACTGAGCAAAAGTCTGGAATCCCTCAGTGTGACTAAACAGATTAAAATCACGCGGCAATGACTTCTTCTTTTCCATCGTTTCCAACATACACGGTCTTCTGTTTAAAATTCCCCAGGCTTCCGAAATTTTCTTGGAACTTCGACGAAGATTTCGAAGATATCGAATGCAAAGTAGCTGGAAGCTTGCTTGCTTGGAATTCGAATGACGAGCAAAATGTGATGAAATTCAAACGTTTCGTTTATTCGGTAATACCAAACGTTCTAGATTCCCTCGCTAAAATTCCTAAACAGAGTTCCGAGGACCTTAGATCTTAAACATGCCATGACGACTTGATCACACACACGGCGGTGGCACAGTGAACTCGTCGAGAAGTTTATTTCAAACTTGTAACACGAAATTGCTTCCCGACATTCTTCCCCTTTGCCAGACGAAGATTGGATCTCGTGTTTGCCGCGTAAAATTCCCTAGAATTTCGAGGCCAATAACTAAACTCGATGCAATATTGGGTTTGTTGTTACTGGTACATGAAACAGGTTGTAACAGCATTTATTTATGTGTTTATGAAATTATGAAAATTTTAGGGATCCTAACATTTATTATTTCTTTAGTAACAATTTAATATTGGCAAATTATTATTAGATGATATTATGATGTGAATTTTAGTAATTTTTATTCATCGCTATTATTAAATATTTCCCTCGAAAAGCCTGAAGCAGTAAACATGGATAATAACTGAA